GGGGGCACAGAAGAACTGTGGGATGTAGAGCATTGTTTGCAAGTGTTGCGGTCGGTCCTTCAATACTCCTAACAGGACTAGGAACACAACGCAGCAGCTTGGTTGTTTATATACTGATTCATGCTCTAATGTTTTGGCATTTAATTGAGGGATAAAGCGCCAACATTTTAAAACTGCATGTAAACCTTTGACTTGGTCACATGTGATGTATTCATTATGTGACTCTCTTCAAACCAAATCCTATATGTTTATACTTTAAAGAATAAAACCTCCCGTCCTCATATAAAACATTTCTTAATAAGCATGGTAGAAAAGTTGCTCCTATTCTACCGGATGTTGAAGAACTTGCAACCAACCCATAATTTATGAACTGGGATGTGATAGAGAAACACTATAAATCTATGAGTTCTAATCTAAAACTAGACCCAAATATGAAAGTGACTTGCTCAATTGTTCACGACAATCATTCCTGCAGCAGACTCTCCTCCGGAGCTTTTTCCCACAACAGGCCGTCCTCTGGAGTTTTTTCCAGCAGTAGACCCTCCTTTAGAGTTTTTCCCAGCAGCAGTCCTTCCTCCGAAACTTTTTCCGTGCAACAGACCCTCCTTCATAGCTTTTTCCTATAACAAGACCTCCTCCGGAGCTTTTCCCCGTCGCATGCCCTCCAGAAATTCTTTCCTGCAACTGACACTCCAAATTTTTTTCCTGCAACTGACCCTCCAAAATTTTTTCCTGCAACAGGCCCTCCTCCGGAGTTTTTCGCTGCAATAGGCCATCCTCCGGAGCTTTTTCATGCAACATATCTTCCTCCAGAGTTTTTTCCTACAACTTGTCCTCCTTTGGAGCTTTTTTCTGCAACAACCCTACCTATGGAGCTTTTCAGTTCTCTACAGGTCATAGCTTACAACTTTTCTATGGGTTGTCTACTTCCCTGCAAACTCTCCCATAACATTATCTGTAAGAACCTTCCGCCTACTTACATACACTTGAGTAACTGCAATCAAAGATAATTAAAGTCAACTAAAAGTCAGTTTATTCTGCAGATTGTCTACATTGCAAACTCCCCTGCAACATTACCTTAAGAGCTTCTGCTTACTAACAGATATTGTAGAAACTACAGTTAAAGACAATCGCATTCAACTAAAAGTCAGCTTTTCCTGGAAGTTGTCTATTTCCCAAACTCCTCTGCAGCATTACTTGTAGGAGTCTTCCTCCTACCTAGAGATATTGCATGAACTGCAGTAAAAAAAGCCGCAGTACGAAATGAAAACTTCAAGTTTTACTTAACAGGATCTACCTAGACCAATGTTTGATGTATTCAAATCCAACTTGAACATGGTTGTTAACCAGATTCCAACTTGAGGGGGAGTGTTAGAAGTTATATTAGGAAATAATTTATTCCTGTTAGAAGTTATGAAGATTAGATTTATTTCCTAATATAACTTTATTTCCTGACATCATAGATTAATTTTCTTGAATTAGATTTATTTTCTTTCATATTTTAGGCTTTCTTATTTTATGTTACTTTCATTATATCCAAATAATTAATATTAATTGATTAATTGGAGATATTAAGTGTTATATCTTTCATTTCATGTTATTTCTTTTTTATTGTCTTTCATATTCTAGGATTCATGTAAGGATTATTTTATATCTCCGTTTAAATCAATAAAAATTTTCCCATTTAGTCTGAATTTCAACAATATGTACTCTATGTTGACTCCTAGTTAATGATAGCCAAGATACCTTCACAGTATATGGGGCATTTACACACAACACAAAATTCTTATGTATTTACATATCTCACACATAAACTTTCATATTTACACACAGGAATCAAATCTTTAATTTTAAATAAAAAATAGCACTATCACCACTTTATAAAAGTTAAAAACATTTTTTCATGCATGGGTTTAAATAACCAAAGTGCTATGTGTGTAAATATGAAATTTTAGGTGTGGGATATGTAAATACATAAGAATAGTGTGCTAGGTACATAAATTTCCAAATTATATTCATATTAATGGGGATAACAACTTTGTCAGGTAATTAAAAAATTTTGTAAATGAAATCACAAATATATCAACTTAATCTTTCCATAATCAATGAGGCACTAAAACTTTCAGCTTATCTCCGCACCTGAAGTTGAATCTCTCGCCGCCGGACCAAGCCAAGCTTGAGCAAGAACAGATGCTTGCAGATGTTCTTCGCCTGCAGGAGATGTTCCGCGTGCTTCAGCAAGAGCGACTTGTGAAAGTTCTTCTTGAAGAGCATGAGCAATAATTTCATCATTTTCAAAATTAGAGCAATCAAGAGCAACATTGCATTGAGTGCTGTACGCCGCTTGGTAAATGTTGGCATCACTGCGAATTGTTCCCTCGCCATATGCACTATTTAAGAAATCACCTTGAAGAAGATGAAGACCCCATCGAAGAACATCGGGATCTTGGTCATACATGATCATCAGCTTAGAAGAGATCAAGATACTGAAATAAAATCAACAGAGTGAAAGAACTTTAGAGATCAAGTGGGGCAGATTAGCATTTCTTAAAACAGCATTAGAAAAAAGGGAAATTTACATATGTTGCACATAATTTATAAGTATTTACATATCTCACAACTAATTTTTCATATTTACATATATAACATTTTGTGCTTTAAAGCTATGTATGAAAAGATGTATTTCACATTTCAAAGTAGTAATAGTACTATTTTTTATTTGATATTAAACATTTGAGAGCTATGTGTGTAAATATGAAAGTTAAGGTGCGAGATATATAAATACATAAGAACTGTGTCCTATTTATGTAAATGCCCCAGAAAAATTAGCCTGCAGCTAATTATCTAAACGAATGTGCAAAATACTACATGTAGATGTTTCAAATCTCAAGTCCAAAAAAAAAAAAAAAAACAGAAAAGAAAAAAGTTACTGATATGAATGAACAAGGACATACTTATGGTAAGTAAAAAAAGGTAAAACCAGCCAAAAAAAATAAATCAAAGTTAATCAGAACTTCTCCTAAGGTTGATGAGATGGTCCGCTGTAGGAGCTGCGGAAAACTTGAATATGCTAGGGTGTGGTGTGTCCTTTGTTCTTTTCGTAGGGATGGGAGAAGAACCCATGATTCCGTGAGAAAAATCACAGTGATTTGTTAT